ATCTATATTTTATAGGGTAGCTAAATATCATTAATATACACAACATGGTATATATTTCTTCTCCAATATTTCATTTATAAATCTTATTGTTAATGGAATTAGGAATATTCTAATCTAGTTGTAATTTCTCAACCTTGGCAATTTGCAGATGTGTGAATTCCAACTCCCAAAATTCCCTTGCTAGGTGGAGAATTCTGAGAGTTGGAGTCCACACATCTGAAAGCTGCCGAACTTGAGAAACAGTTTTATATAGTTCTTACTGTAGAACCAATGTGCAACATTTTTCTCTATCCCTTTCACTCTTCACTCAGATAGGGCAAACATATTTGCAGCTGGGAAGTGTAAGATTTTCCTCTGTTCCCTCTTCCACGAAAGACCTGCTTCATCAGACATGTTTTTAGGCTAGATAGGAAAAGCTAATTTCTAATGTGTGCCTACACAAGTCCGCAGTTGTGAAGCTTTGCAACACTTTTATTTCAAAACCTGCGCTCCAGTGCATTTACCTGGTTTATTTTTTAAAGAAAACATAAACATTCAATTTTTAAGTGCAGCACGATACTAAAGGCTTGTATTTTATTTATAAATGCAAACGATAAAAAAAAGTGGTGATTTTTCAAACTCCATCTCCTTCTTTTACTGTTCCCCTATCTACTAATATAGGATGCTACATGACATTGTAAATTCAACAAACTCAAATATATTTTATACATGAATAAATTCATTTATTAATGCATCTGACAAAGTGAGTTGTCAGAACTCGCTTACAAGAACTGGTGCCTTTTAATAGTGTTTGTTAGGAAAGGTGCTGACAGGCTTGAGTTTTTTGCCATTATGGATTCACATGGCTCTCCTCCTACCTACATTATAAACAATTGATATTGGATTGTATATTTTTTTAAACATTCTAGAGCAGGGGTTGGCAAACCTAAACACTCAAGGAGCCATTTGGACCTGTTTCCCACAGAAAAGAAAACACCAGGAGCCACAAAGGTCCTAACCAGAAGCCCCCTGTTCAATTCTGGAGCTGACCGGAAGTTCAGTTCCCCCACCATAGAGTCTCCTCCTAGCGCGCCATACTTTTTCCTCTACCTGCCATAACCGAAAGCCCTATTAATTGTGGAGACAACTGGAAAACCCTCCCCTTGCCATAGAGTTTTATCCTGGTGCACTGTGCTTCTCTCCTCTGCCCCCACCGGAGGCTCCTCTCAAAATTGTGGCGCTGACCAGTGACGGAGCCGCAGCAGAGGGAGGAAAGAGCCACATGCTTCTCCAGAGCCGCAATTTGCTGACCCCTGAACTAGAGCAATTGTGTGTGTGTGTGTGTGTGTGTGTGTGAAGAAAACTATCTCAAAGGACCTCAGTGCTAGTTCTGTTTAAGGGAATAAAGGAATCATCTGAAAGGTTATATTTGGTCAGCTTGAATTTCTTCCCTGGGAGAATTTATTTCCGAGGGAGTATTATGTGTATGGGTGGGGTAGTAGAAACTGTGGGGCTTGTTCCAAAAAGTCAAGATGGCGTCCATAACCCTATGACCAGAACTCTGATCCTTTTTCATGTGAATTGGAAGCCTGGTGAATAAAAATCAGGCAAGGCTGCAGGTAGCAAGGCAAGAATTTCATAAATGGGTAGTACCAAATTCTCCTTTTTGTTAACTTTCTGGTTAATAGCAGTTTGGGTGTCTTCCAAAGGGGAAAAGAAGGAACAGGGCTTTTCCACCTCTGCATTTTTATGCTTTGGGTCTCAACCATGCTACCATACAGGTAATCTTGAATTTACAACCAGTTGCTAAGTAAATATTCAAAGTTATGGCAGATCCTAAAAACGAACGTGGTACCCGTTTTTAAAATTCCAACATCTCACCCTTCTTCACACGACCCCATTTTTGGCATTTGGCAACCAGCTCACATGTTGTCACATGATTATGATTCAAAATGATTTTGCTAGACTGCTCTTTTATTTTCAGTTTCAGACCAAAACCACCCCATAGTGGGTTCATTTAATGATTGCAGTGTTTGCTTTACAACTGCGGTGTTTGCTTGATGATCACTTCAAAAAAAGAATGTAAAATTGGGGGCACTCACATAGTGGCCCACTTTACCATCAATAAGACTTACGACTGAGACTGTGGGCTTAATTATGGTTGCAAATTGAGGACTACCTGTAAACACGCTTGGTTTCCTTCATTAAAAACTTTCCTGGAAATTAGGGAAAGCTTATGAAATTCTGTTTCTAAACTATTCAAAAAGGAGTAGCAGGTTTTTCCATGGTTGCCTCTAACAAGCTAGCTTTCCTGCTGAAGTCTGCCAAGATGTCTTCTCCAAAGTACCATCCAATAAAAGCGTGCTCAGACTCACAGTCTGATCCAGGTTTGGTCAATAAAGCTGCATTCAGGTAGAGGGGGAGGGGGATGAGAGGAAGACTGTTTCTCTTTAGCACTCAACCACAAGAAAGACAATAGATAGCTTTGGCATTAAGCGCTGTGTGCCTTTGATACAAATTAAAGCTGTTCTCAGCAAAGGTCAATTCCCTTTAAGTATAACTTGGCAGGTACTTTGCAGGCATTTGATGCAACACCTACAAGGACTAAAGGACACGAAGTTAGAACTTGGATAATTAAGCCTTCAAGGAGTTTCTTCCTCTTCTCAGGTAGAAAAGCAACGCCTGCCTTGTGTCTCCAATAATTTCAAGCCCAGGTAGATCTATATTTTATATTCATTGCTACAACTTTACAAATCAAGATTGCCATGGGATGTAATAAAGAACCAGTTTAATAAAGTACATTATTCTCTTTTACATGAATTGTGAACAGAATCCATTTAGATAATAGCACTGCTTCAGGATGATTATAATTATATTAAGTGAAGACCACCAGGTTTTAAGATTTTGGTTCTTTAACTATCATCACTCATAGGCAATGAATAAAGGGCACATCACAATGATCTTGTACTATTACATTCTGTTATATAGGTCTCTGAATGTAATTTAGGCAATAAAAATGCACTTTTCTCATCAAAAGTGCACTCTGGGTTTATTTAGATCAAGTACATTTAGTATTTCTCTACTTTTTTCAATAGTGATTTTGAGATTGCAGGCCAAGTATCGTTAATAAGCAGTTTCTAGTTGCCTGAGTTTTTTCTTTATGATTATTTTTTAAACTAAACTTTTGATTGGGCAGACCATCAAACAAGCACTATTTCCAACAGAGGAATTTCCTTGATAAGTGTTCCAAAAATGCTCAGAGCTATGTTGGCATTCTTCAATAGCTGTTTGGGGGGCTTTGTCTTTTGGTTGGCATTTTGCTAACACTGTGGCTGAAGGATTTGTTTTGTTTTTAAAAAACAACAACAGGAACAGAACCTGTTGAAAAAAAGCTGAAAAGTACTGCCTATTTATGGAATTGTTATAAATTCTTGCCTGACACCCTGCCTATTTTTACTTGCACTGTGCATCCAATACACTTGAAAAAGGAGCAGAGTTTTGTTCAGATGGTTGTGGACACCATCTTGGACAACACCCCACAGATGCCCCTATCCCACAAATATAAATAATACAAGGAGCACTAAATTTGTCTCTTTAAGCTTCTGAAGAATGGAACTTAAATCTAAACAAACAAACAAACATTATTTTAAGTCACTGAAAGCTGAGATTCTGCACAGAGGTACCTTTAAGATAATGTAAATGTGATATCGTGATTTAGATAGTAGAGGCGTGGCGTGAAATTTAATATATACAGTACGTGTGCAGGCTATCAAGAATTATGTATTCAGGACACAAGATAGCAGTCAAGGGCACCAGCCAGTTGGCAACATAGATCAGCATTCTGTCAACCAACTTCAGTGAGTTACACATACAGAATAGAAAAATAAACTGAGGTTCAAGACAATTGTTCTTATTTAGACATGGTTAGAACCATGTTGGAATAGCTCAGGTATGTATCCGTCAAATAATGCAGGCTCTTGCAATGTGAGAAGGCTCCATGTGAGTGGCTCCCAAAGAGTAACAAACCATGATATATTATACATGCAGAATCAGCTGTTTTGGACTGATTGTGAATGCTCAGAATTTTCCTCCCTCCTCTACTACACCCTCTCTTGTCTTTAATTGTTGTTCTGTCACTGATACTAAAATGTAGCTGCTATAAGGCCAAACTGGTTCGTTGTGGATTATAGACTCCTTTAGGGTGGACACTAATGCTAGCCCTGAACATTCATATTTTAAGCAGCTTTGGATAATAAGATAGGCGATATATATATTTAGTAATAAATTTAAAAAATTAAAAAATAGGGGGCGGAACATCGTGGTAAGCAAAGGAGCAAAAATGGAAAAGAGTTGTTTGTCTGCTTTAGAAAGCCAGTTGGGTTTAGTGGTTAAGCTACCAGGTTAGAAACCAGGAAACTGAGTTCTAGGCCTGCCTTGGGCATGAAAGCCAGCTGGGTGATTTTGGGCCAGGCACTCTCTCTCAACCCACATAAGGTTTGGGCAAAAAGCCTATCAGTCAATATATGTCACAATCATCAAATCAATACTCAGCTGATCTAAAAAAACGGAGAGAAAAAGAAGTGGTCCCTACCTACCTAAAACACTAGTAACAAAAAAATAAGTTGATTTGCCATATCCACTGCTGTCAATCTGAATGATCAGTTGTTTTCTAAACCAGTTTTCTTAGTTTCAAGTCAACTAACACTATCAATTTCTGTAATTGGAGACCACAGAATAGGTTTGGGAGATTCGTGCATGCAAAGAATATGCTCTAATGCTGAGTCATAAATATAAAGAATCAAAGTTCTATTTAGTGTATGCTATATTGAATAGAACATTTGGAAACCTTTAGCTTTTCCTGAAGGCAAATGTGGGCCATAAAATGCTATATATTAAATGAGATTTTATAAAATATGTACTTATTTATTAAGCTGAAAATCCAGACAGGATAAACAAATGTTTACAATATAATACAATAAGCATTTCCAAGATTTAATAAAAATGATTGTCAGTCATTGTGCTTCACAAAAGATTTCTTTTTAATGAATAAATAATTTGATGAAATAAAAAATATTTACAATATAAACAAACGGGAAAAGCTTTGGATATAGTAATCTGATCCTCCTGTATTTTTTCCATTTTCTTAATGGATGTATATCAAATCACTTCTTCTGAAACAATACAAGTTGGACAGAAAATTGAAGTCAGCAAGATTAATGTGGTCTGTGGGCATAGCTTTTAGTTCAATTCAAGCTACGCGTGCTTTGTTTATTAGGAGCAAATACAATACAAATATAACTAAAATACAGTATCAAAATGCTAGGCAGCATTCTCCACAGAACAAAAATGTACACTAGTCTTTAACAATAACAAGGATCACTGGCAACAAAAAAAATAGTACAACAGAAAGGTACAAACATTGTCATTAAGAATAGAATTGTGCTCTTGGATTGATCAGATGACTAGGCAGGTATAGTAGGCTCTTCGATGGGTTTGCATGATAGTGGTGTCCAGTCCCAGAGTGTGTTGGTGTGGGACTGTGGGACTGTGACTCAAGCAACAGCCATACTATAGGAAATGGGCAGTGCAAGCATTTTTGGAAAGACTCTCTTGGGCTCTTAAAAAGAGCCAATACAAAGCAATTAAAGTGTAACACTGAGAAGTTCTCATCTCATACACACAGATATCATGAAGCAACTCGCTTGGACTGTGCTAGTGAAACATTTTGCCTCAACGTTACTTGCAGTATCAGCCAGAATTCAAGTACTCCAAAGCCACTTCATAGCAGAATTTATATTGATCCTGAAGAGCCAAAACAAGAAAAGGGAAGAAGTTAGTTGTAGGGGGGAGTTAAAGAAAGTCAAGTTGTATAGTGAATTAATTACAAATATTTAATGAAAAAGTTTTCTGTGTAGATTTTTTTTGAATCTATTAGACAGGGCCACTGTGACCCTATCTGGAAAACATGTGTGCGTTGGTAATAAGATCATAGAGATATACAACGTTGTCTGCCATATGCAGAATACTTAGATTAAAAAGATGTGCCTTGTAAGAAATGAAAAAAAAAATAACAAATTCAGCATCACGTAAATACTTTGTTTCACTATATAAAGAGACTTTTTAGTAAACTGTCAAATGATGGCAGTGGAATTTCTTCATGACTAAAGGCCAGACACAACTTCTTATAGTAATGATGAACAAAATAGACTGTATCCTGACATACTGAATTGTTATATAAGCTTGTGCATACTTGCACCTACATAAAACACCAATGGCCTTTCAGCCTTTCTACATTTCAAGTAGTTTCACAAAGTACAACACAAGGAAATAATTGCTCCTGGTCCTTTGTTTCTGAACTCTTTTAATCTTTCTGCAAGATAGAAGAACCATAATTAAATGCAATATGCTAAATGTCAAACTGAAATTCACAGTCTTGATAAATATTAGGAGATTAAGCTATTTATAAAATATATAATTTGAAAATCCGACACTTCATTTTACATGACTATTATTTCTGCCATACAAAGTCTGTTCTCCTTTTGGATTGCCCTGCCAGAAAAGAAAATTAATAAGGGTGTTCTGTTTAAAGTTGTTACATTTGCACAAAAAGTCTAGCACACCTTGAACAAGACTCAAGAAGTAGCATAAAAATACTTTTATAAGTCAAGTGATTTCATTATCCCCTTTAGGAAACAACAGGCTTGCTTTTATGAACAGTACTCCACATAAATCACCAAAATGTCACTATGCTTTACGAGAACTGGTATAATTTTCTACTTAGTGGTACAGTTTAAAAAACTCCTACCAGAAGGTCCACCATATTTGGCTTATTATTTCTCAAAGTCTTCACAGCATGGAATACATCAACGGCCCTCTGGTGTTGTAGCATTTCACAAACAATACTGATTGCACAAAATGTCCCACTGCGGCCACCACCATTTCTGTAAGAAAAACAGCAAAATGACTTGATTATTTTTTAGATTTTGTTATTATAGTACCTAAGGATTTTTTTTTCACCTCCTAAAATAAGCTTATTTTATTCAATTATATACAACCAATGAGTGTTCATGTTGTCTAAATAGTCTATCCACAGACTGGATTTGCTGTATAATAATAAGCTAAGCAGAATAAATATTTATTGCTCGTGATGTTTCTAGCTATAGTCTTTGGGAACTTAGAATTCTCATCTTCCCAACTTTTAGGCTTAAGGACAAAAATATTTTATCCAACTTTGTTGGGCTAAGTTACAAATTATATTAGGAATTGTGTTAACAATACAACTTTATTTAGAAGATTTAGAAAATTTATGAGCACCTAGAAATGAACAATTGATCACTTGAAGTGATATTGATCACTTGAAGCTAGCGTGGGTTTGTTAAAAACAGATCGTACCAGACAAAACTTACTGTCTAGGTGTCCCTTAACATAAGAATTTTCAATTTCAATGATTGCACAGTGTTTTTTTTTTCTCCTTCTGCTGCTAATGTATCTAAAAAGATTTTAGGTACATTAGCAGCAGAAGGAGCAAAAAGTGTGCAGATGGATTCAAAGTTGGCTGACCGACTGCATTCAGCATGTAATTCTCAATGTACTACGTCTACATGGAGGGAAGCATACGGTGGGGTGCCTCAAGGTTCTGTCTTGAGCCCAGTGCTCATCAGCATCTTCATAAATTATCTGAGATGAGAGATAGATGGGGAACTTAAAATATTTGAGGTCAACAACAAGCTAGGGGAAATTGCCGACACTTTGTAAGATAGACTCAAAATTCAGAAGGATCTTGATAACTTGAACATTGGGCCCTATATCCATATCCTTAGATATATATTCATATCTATTTTTAAAATTGAATAGCACTCTCTCACCAGAGGGACAGATACCACAGCAACTATCTCCTGTTTACAATGCAGTCCTTTAACAGTGGCAAGAAGGTTCCACACCGATTTACACTCTTAATTCAGATGATTCTGAGGATGCAGATAAACCACCAAGTGGCTTCAACAACTCTCTGAAAGAGACCAATCTTCAGAGTGCTAATGGACAGATAACTGCAAAGAATATAAATCCTTCCATTCCCCACCAGTTTTATTTATACTAATAATTTATATTATAGATATTTGATTGGAGAAACTGTATCTATCCCAAGAATATCAGAACCCAAAGCAGTTTATTGCAAAAATGTGTTGCATGAGTTTAGATGCATGAATAAATTCAGCATTTATAATGCTTTATCTCTGGTTATTTTTAGTTTTCTAGAGATTCATCCCGTTCTAGAAACCCTGTTATTTCTACAGCTATTCTAATCAGCATCCTTTAGACGGCACTTCATTGAAATAATAAACCTTAATAATTACCAGAGTGCAGACTAGTTAGCTTGCAACTCTTTAAAGACAACATTCACAAATGGTTGATTTTCAAAGGAACTACAATATGGCACATCTGTCACATCCAGACAGCATGAAAAGAATGTTCCCTGCTGCCAAAATGCTGGATAATATTGTGCCATTCTTTCCGCATCTAATTAAACCAAAGTCATTTAAAAGGATTATGATGGAGCTTTTTCCCCCCTTCCTATACTACCTCAAAGTCCCATGCACGTGTGCAAACACATGAGAGGTAATACAACCATTTAATATCCTGAGTAATCAAGAGAGATAATATAAATTTGCATTTGAAAAAGACCTCCCAGATGTGCATCTCAAAGCATTAATGAGCTAAACCTCCCAAAATAAAATATTATAATTTTTATTCAACAGGTGAGAAAACTAGAAAACTGTGTGATAAAACTACTAGACCATGATCAGCGGAAAAGAGGGGTAATTTTAACAAAATCTAGGTAGTAGCTAATTTTAAATTTTTAAAAGAACCTTATAGGTTAGACAGAAAAACTATAGTCTGACTGTATCAGAGGTGGTATTTAGCTGGCTCTTTCTGGTTCGGACGAACTGGTAGTAGTGGCTGCAGGAGGCTCCACCCACCCACCCCGATGTAATGCGGGAGCACTGCGCATGCACAGAAAGCAGTGCGCATGCGCAGATGCAGTGTGTGGGCAAGTTCATATTTGCGAACCGGTAGGGAAGGTAAGTGAATCCCACCACTGGACTGTATATGAATGTGACAGAGAAAAAGATGGAGAAGCACAAAGAAAGTGAAGAAATACATAAATTAACATATTATGCTAAGCCACGGTTTGACCACTATTTACTGAATAATCCACAATTGGCTAGGTTCTCACAATTATTACCCTCAAAAATCAAATGGGTGAGTTAACAAAACATACCAAACAAAATTAGCATTCTGATTTATCTTATACTAAGGTTAGGAAGAAGTGAGGAAGGTTATAAAGAAGAGAGTTGAAATATTGCAGTTTAGCCATAGTCTGGTTGTCATGGAAAATAGTTTTATAAGTGGTGGTCCAAATTACACAATATATCAATACATAATTTCCCATTATGTACCTATTTTTTTTGTACCCAGGCATTTTTTTTTTGTAAGGCTCAATTCCTGGTGACTGCACAGGCAAACAAAAGTATTCTCTATCTTGATCTATCCTTAGCAGCAACAATAATTCTTCCAAGGAAATTCTTTTAATCTTGGCCCATCTATCTTTCTTATTTATTATTTTCTTCTTCATTTCTCAGCAGGCCAAGTGTAGTCATTTTTTCTAGTCCTTCGTCCACTTCTATCACATCCCCAAAGTAGATGAATTTCTCCTTGCCCAAAAGATCGTTTTAACTTTAATAGTTCTGAACTTTGTTGTCACAGAAATGTCCTTATCCTATGTGAACTTGTCTGTTTGTCACAGCCTTTCTCCCTAAGATTGATGTCCTTTTTTATTCCACTAACATACTTTCGTCCTTTATTCTTAAGCCCAAGAAAAACCAAATTATCTATCACCTTCACTCATCTAAAGTTAATCAGATGCCAGCTAAGCAATCTTGTCTGCATCTGACTGTTAACTGTGCTGATGTCCATTTAATGCTACCAAATGACACTGCAAGAACAAAAACTGATATTTTTTCCATCTGAAATTCCAATCCAATATTACCAGCTATGGAAAAAGCAATGTTCTATCATCATACAGAACATTGATTCTGTGATGCCTGTATGCTTCAGATTTTCCATTCAGTACAGTATTCCCCCCCCCCTTATTTTTCACCAAGGATTATCAACCTATTGCTTGCCTGACCACTAGATGGTAGCAAAGAGAGCTTTTGGTTCATCTGGGCTGCCATCTACCGTAATCTTTCTATCTTCCTTTAATCTCATTTGTGTCTATTAGATCTCCTTCCGGATTACTTCTCAGCATTTCTAATTCCACTGTAGGTTTTTCTATTATTTTTCTGAATAGAGAACATTTCATTTTTTTATTGTTTTCCTCTTTTTGTTGACATTCTCAAATAAAGTATTTTTCTTTGTCCTTTCTTACTAGAACTAGAAGTCCTTATTCATGCTCTGAAAGCTCTTTGGATCTTCTCATCTTTGAAATTTTTAGATTGTTTTTACTTCAATTTCACAATGTCTCATTTCTTTGTACAGCTCCTTAGACTCTCTAGTGCATAATTGATTCATTGTCTGAATCTGTTCCTTACATTGATCTTATATTCTTACTGCATACTCCCCACATCAAATCTTGTTAACCCAGTTGGTTTCTTTCTCTCTTCTCTTTCCCTATATATTTGACATCAATAAATCATGGTCTCTTCCACCAGGCTCAATAGATTGCACTTCTCATTCTTCCATTTCCTATTATGTTGTCAGTTTGATTGCAGTGTTGTGCATCCAGTAATGTTCATATGTAGACTCTGTATTTATGTTGCTTGAAATGGATTTGACAATAAATAAAGAATTCTCTTTGCAAAAGTTTATTATATTATTTTCTTTGTGCTTACACTATGGCAATCCAAATCTTCCTGAATTCCAATTATTTATTACTGGAACTCTATCTTTATTCACCTCTCAGGGTTGATTTAATTGCTTTTTCTGTACTTTGCAGAAAACTGATATGATTCTAGTGGTCCCTTCCAATTTCATGATATCATGAGTTACCTTCCAGCCAATCCTTCTGAGGCTCCCTTCTCATGCAGTACAAATAATATACAATTTGCTGCAGCAGGAAGATGGGATGAAATAGTGGCAGAAATGTTATCCTCTTCCTTACAAAGGAGCATGATGAAATCCACCATTTTGCATCAAGCAATGTTAATAATGTTACCTCTGGGAAACATATAAAAAGAGCAGAAAGACTATAGTCCTCTCTGATTTAGTTCTCTGTGTGGCAGTATTCAGAATTTATTACCTGCATTGAACAATTATTGACAAACGGATTGTCTATGAGTTTGTTAAATTGCTCCAGGGCTGTAAATTAGGAACTCTTCAGTCTGAATATTACTTTTGCAATACTTTTACTAGGTGAGTTTGGGGCTCTCTAACTTCCCCCCTCCCCATCCTATAAGCCTCATCTGTACTACGGACAATTACAGCTCTAACTTTACAGAGTTGTAGTATTTGAATTAGATTAAAATCTAATTCAAATTATAAACCTCAGCTTCATAAGAGTCGCTGTGATTGATCACCTTAAGAGTTTTATTCACTTACAAGCAATGGACAACTGTACGGCCCTCTCCTCCATTATATTCTTCTTGCCACTTGTCGACTTGACGTATGAGTTTCAAAAAAGACCGTTTAGATACGGGTGTGTCTCTGTACATAGGCCATCCTAGGAACTGAAATTGCTGTACCATTCGGTAGCCATCCTGAGGCTGTGGGGACCCAACCAACAGGTGAAGAAAAAAAGACAGCGTTATTTATTCTGAGTTCAAATAATCTATGCCTTACAACCTTACACTGTTATAGAAGATTGTTCCTTACAATGTTCTAAAGAAATTTACATTTCAAAGTTATGACTTTGAATCTCAGATTTAAGATGATGATATTTTAAACAGCTGAAAATACAGATATGCTGAAGTGAAACAATGTACCAGCTGCAAGAGCCAAATATATGATTAATATTATAGCAATCACAAGTTGAAATTTGCAATATAATTCTAACAGTGTTGCTCTTTTAATATGCTTGTCATTGTCAAATTTCTGAAATAAACGTTCATTCTGATGACTTATTGTTAACATGCTAAATACAGACCAATTCGTTCAGAATAACTCTCCCTTCCTTGGCATCTTTGGAAAACTGTACTTATCTGTTGAAAATTTCTACTAATTTATAATAAAGGGAAAGAAAGAGAAAAAAAATATGTTTTTCAATTTCTCAATTCTATTGACACACTTGTGATTTGAAAAAAAGTCTTCAGGATTATTGATTTGTTTAGTCTGTAATTAATGTTCAAAAATGTTTAAAATATAAATGTATGTATCCTTAATTCTGGAAAATAAATAAATAACCAAGTAAAAGACCTGGCAAAGTTGCTTATTGAGTGTTCTTCATTCTTGTATGTTTTTATTAGGCAGTTTAACACTGATCAGATATAATCTAGAATTTCTAAATTTATCCAAATCCTGGCAATACTTTTGCTCCAACTGAAGCTTCTAGGCTGGTTCTAATTATAGAATATTACATAGTCTACATTATAGATTGAATATTTTATGAACAAAGTGGACTTTTTATATGGAATACTTCCATCAAATAATAAACATTAAAATAAATCAACCCAAACTATATTTCTATCCCTCATAAGAAAAATAAGCAAATAAGATCCTTACTCTTGATGCATTATAAATTCGGAATATTCGACTGATTATATCTTCTTCTAAATCAGCAGAAACAAACTCTACTTGAATAGGGCCATGTCGATGAACACCATTTTCAGGCCAATATTGTGGACATAACTGTAGAAGAAAGAGATTAATTCATGTGTAATTGTATTATTTAGGATGACTCTGTATACTCCAAGTGTTATTTTTTTATGTGCCCATATGAGCTCCACGGATCACAGAAAACTAAATTTACACAAAATGTCACGTCTTTTTAACTGTCTGAAAAATAAGATTATTTCCAAAGATAAAAGGCTATAATGCAATATATAAGTTTATATATTGATGGAACTTTGCAGTCCTTCAAGAAAAGACCAACATTTTAAAGGCCTATGAAGCGGTATATAAGTCTAACTGCTATTGCTATTAATTTTGCAATTATATCTTTTTAGAAAGAAAAATGCAGAAACAATTCTCAGCCTCTAAGAATATAATCTACTTTACTACATAGACTCCAGTGAAGTTTGTAGTACACGTCTTGTTTATACAAATATGAAATACATACATTGCAGGAGAAAACTTTTATAGAGGACACATATAATTTTACTTTTATTTATTTATTAACAGACTTGTTTTAACAACAATGGTTAGGTTATTTAGAAAACAAAAATATAAATAAATTGAATTGAATTATTAATAATTACAATTTCAGACCAAATGGAAAGAAGAACAATTATTTTCGAACAATTATTTTCAAATTATTTCTAAATGTCTGATGGAACAGAACTTTCAATTTCTTTTAAAAAAAGAACTGGGAAACACATGCAAGGAATTCTCTGTGGAAAATATTCTGCTGCTCTGGGATATCACAAAAAAAATTCCTTCCTTTGCTGGTTATCATGAGTGTGAAATACATCTGTTTTTCATTTCCCAGTCTTTAATTGTAACACTACTGGATATCACCAAACCTTAGTTGACTTCCATTTACATAAATATCTCCTTTTCCACTTTGACAATTTGTTCCAACAGTATACTGTGTAGTGTAGTAATCACAGGGGATCAAAGAGATACTCTGGACCATTTACATAGCAGGTAATATTATGTAGGCTGAGTCCCTCTTAATCCGTCCTGAATCTTCACTTTCCAATATTCCAGACATCAATTTAGAAATGGGCTCAGTCATACCGTTAAGGCCAAGCAAAGCAAAACAAAACCCAGAGAACTATTGAAGGATTGTATTTGGGGTTTAATTTATATCTTCCCTCTCTATTCATTTGGACATGCAAGGCTAGCCATCAATATAATGAATGCTACAAAAATAAAAATGGAAAGAAGTTACTTTAAAATCTTGCAAAGAAGTAACAATTAAAAACCTGATGAAAATTACATATTGTGGCTGATGCTCTGGAGTAAAAGAGAAGGTGCATTAACTGCATTTCCTGAGAGAAGGCACTCCCCACCCTGGGAATAACAGGAAAATGCCCTCTATTTCATGCTGGACAGACTGGGGATATTTTCAGACTGTAACACTTGAGGAAGTTTGCATCAGGAGATGTAGACCTTAGCCATTTTGGCCTTTAAATGTCAGTAACAACATCTTATATGCTGCCTAAGAAGCAATTAACAAGCATCACACGTCTTCTGGTATCAGCATAACATAATTCCAGTGTTTTACATTGAACAGAAATGTAATTGATGCATTTTTCACCCACTAAAATTTCTGGGTACTCTTCAAAGTCATTGCCATATGAAACGTATTGGAATAATCAAAACTGACTTGCTCAGATAGGAACAACTCTTTTCTTAATATGGAATATTTCTTGGCAAAATTTAGAATCCATGCACATGAAAGAAATCTTATAGTTGCATGGTCTGCTAGTATCACAATACAGAAGTCTTACTGGTATTTTAAAACATAATGCAAACTATGGTATTCTATTTTCAAGCTAGTAATAGGAAGAAAATTGAAAAGCCATAAAATGTGGGAAAAGGAGCTTTCAGCTGCATGGAGAAAATTTGTAAAAATTATATTTGAAAATTAAAGTATTTGGATTTTAAACATTTTAATACTATGCAAACATTCTGAAAAGAATTGCTTGCATAATTTTACATGCAACTTCAATCATGTGTCTACTTGTTTGCCTCCTTTCTAGATTAAAGACTCCCAAATATTACAATCTTTCCTCACATGGAAACTGTTCTAGCTGCTTCATCATCTTAGCTGCCTTCCTTTGAACCTTCTCCAGCTCGACTGTATTCCTTTTGAGGTGTGGTGGTCAGAACTGCACACAATATATTATGATATTGGCATCTCTAGTTTCAATTCCATTTCTTATTATCTCTACATACAATTAAGTCTTTTTAATAGTGTATACAAGCTATGTTGAGAAGTTCATTAAATTTACCCTTACTCCAAGATTATTTAGCTCTGATTCCATTAGTTTGGGTCAGTAGTCAAAAATTTTGGCTCCAATGTGCATCACTATATACTGCCTTACATTGGATCTGCCATTTTGACATCTACTCCCCTAAAAGAATCCTTTGGACAGACTCTTATTGTTTTTACCAATTTGAACAATTTACTGTCACCAGCAACATAGCTGTTGCACTAGTCACACCTGTTTCCAGGTGAATTATAAATATGTTAAAAAGTACTAGAAAGGAGTGTCTTTATTTTAGTCCTGTGCTGCTTTGCTTAATTCAGAAATGATTTGGCTGATGGATTAGAAAATGAAATTTTCACATTTTTGGATGACACAAAGCTAGGAGGTTAGCAAACACTTTGTGGGACTATCAAAATTCAAGAGGACACTGACAAGTTGAAACAATAGGCAGATATTAGTAAGATGATACAACAAATGTAAAGTCTTACATTTGAGTAGGAAAAACCAAAAGCATGAGAATAGAACAGGAAGAGGACATACTGAACAAAACTACATGTGAATTACAAGAATCCAGTCTCATAGTTGTTCATAAGCTACATATGCACCAATAGTATTATGCATTGGCAAAAAAAGGTTATCCTTTGCTGTAGCAAAATAAGTAGAGTGTCAAGAAGAAGTTATTGTTCTTTTCTAATGCTGCATTAGAATCACACCTTACATATTGTATCCTGTTTTAGGCATCATGTTTTTGAAAGGATGTTGACAAACTAGAACATGTCCAGAAGAAAGTAATCAAAATGATAAGTGGCCTGGATGGAAAAATTACGAGGAAAGGTTGGAAGCACTGGGTATGTTTAAGGAAGACTACAGGGAGACCTGACAGCTGTTTTTAAAGGGCTGTCATGTAGAAGACAGGAAGGAATAGTTCAGAGTTATTTCACAAGACAAGGTAAGACATAACAAGTTTAAATACAAAGAAGTAGATTTTCTATGGACTTATTTTTCCCCCTAAAGGTAAGAATCATTCAATAATGGTACAGACTATCCTGGGAGGGGCCAGCAGTTTTAAATTCAAGGCTTATAAACAGAGGCTTCATGGCCATCTGTTGAGAAGTCAGTAGCAGTGTAGCACTTTCCTGCAGAAAGTTAGACAAGGTGATTTTTCAAACCCTACATTCTAGGAATCTACCTAGCCAACTCAAAAAAGGTTTCAGTGTTGTGGCCCACATGGGATACCTTCCTTCGATTTGTACACCAGAGCTACTTTTCCCTGCCAAAGGCTGTAAACAATTATGAGCAAGGAGGGTTTGAAGTAACCAATCACACAAATAAACTGTGTGTTATTTTATGGAATTGTAATGGAAAGATAAAGGACAATCATTTCTTCAGAAGAAGTGTACTCAAACAACAACAAGGTAATATCTTGTGTATTTTTTTGTGTAAAAAAATATATTTGAATGAAATGTGTGTTTTCTTTTCCCACTTCACCCTATGTACCCTAATTAACATTTTGGAACAAACATTAGTGTAGGAAACCAGGTTTAGTTGCCAACAGACAGCAGGCCTCCAAAGTTTTAAAAGGTAACAAAGGAAGACCAATGGAAAGTTTAAAAGTTTCTCTGCTTTTGAATATTTAAAACATGGCTGAGAAGTCAAATGCACTTTTTAGTAGCAACTAAGCAGCTTGATCCTACAAGCCGTTCCTTGTTCACTCTGAAAATAACTCAACAACACCCAAGATCTTTTGCCTTTCATGCATTTCCCTGGAGACCAGTGATTGTGTTTGGGATACAAAAATATGCCTGAAATTTATAATTACTTGCAGAAGGGGTGTTACTTGTGAACTTTAAAACAATAATGACAACAATATTTCAAATGTTAAGAAAACTATTTTTCCTTATTTATGATAAATATAGCATATATTAGAGCAGATTCGGCTGTTAATGTTCTCCTCTTTAACCAAAACATTTCATTAAGCAGTACAATAAATAATTTAAGTCAGAAATTTTAGAAAAACTGGGCAGTTTTACTTTAGTATGGGCACCCATTTTTCAACTCCAGCAGTATTTGTAAGAGAGTTTCATCTTTCAGTTTCCAGGAACTGACTGACTACTTTTGATGTAGAGTTTGCTGCCACTTCAGCTGGAAAGAGACAGGAAGAACACAGCAAAATAACGCATGTAAGGCTCAAAGGAAGTGTGGTATTTCAGGAAGTCATGCCAGCGCCATTTAGTCCTAAGTGCAGATGGCTATTGAGCAACACTGATGACAAGCCATTATCTATGTCACACTTTGTCTGGAGACATAATTGTCTCTTTCCCAGTAGCATAAGCTAGTGCATTTTCTTAAACTGACATCCAGCATCCCCAGGAAATGTCTCCATGAGGATATGCAATTAATGGCACTGCTCCTATTAAAGAAAAGGGCTGACAGTCAGCGATCCTTTTTTTTTTCTGAAAGAAAGAAGCAATTATAAAGAGCAAGATTTCAGCATCACAAAAATAGATCTTGCATCTATGCGGCACAGTAAATAATGGTTGATTTGGACTAGTAAACCGAGGATTCATATTCCCACTCGAGAATAAAATTTTATAGCTACTCTACTAAGTGCTAGTCTACAAAATATTTCACGACTCCCAGTGCCTTTACTGTTGATAGTTGAACTTAAAAGGCAAAAGCCATTTATCACTTCATTTTTAGTTCTAAGTTTGGTTGCTGTAACTGTTGTGATTAGTTGAATCTTTTTTATATTTAATCTCGGTGCAAAGCTCTCATGTACTCCTTGATTTATATTGTTAGAACTTGCAAATATTTGCACTTTCAGCTATTAAGAATATTATGTTCTGGGTTTCCCATTTTTCCACAGCTTGATATGGTCTACATAACTGAAGGCCTTTCTGTAATCAGTGAGTTATCATATTGATAACTTTCTGGAGATTTCCAGGACTGTAAACTACACTGGGAAGCTGCAAAAGAACATCTTGGAAGCAGTTAATGGAAAGCCACCTTCTATCCTGTTTTATCAAGAGAAGTCCCTTAAAGTCAAACTCAAATTGAAAGAGACGTTACATATGAAGAAAGTAATTTTACTAAATTCACGTCTTTGACTTACTTGTGCTGGATCCACATCATTCAGCATCACTATTGATGTGCAATGGTAGTCTAGAACCAGTCTCCAGAAGTCTTTGACAGTATTTGGTAAAGGATGCTGAGTGACTATAAAAGCTGAAGGCTGTTTATAACTCTGAAAAATAAGCAGTATATTTTAATGGAGGATTAAAGTCAGGATTAAAGCTACAGTAAGAAAGTAAATATAAGAAAAAAATGAATATTAATAATATTTTCTTCAAAAAATGATATTCTATATATTATGGAAATAGAAGAAAAAGCTTCTGCTGAACTGGCATGGAAGCACTTACAGCTGTTCAGACTTGGAACAGAATTGCTTTTAAATCCCAGTCTTCCAATGGAACTTGGAGATAGTGAAGTTATACAGATATAGTCTTAAACCTGCACCAGAGGTTCCTGTCCCTGGTGACATGTGTACATTAGCATCAAACACAAGGGACAAGGAATGGGAAGCAAGACTTATTTTAGGAATAGATAAAGGGTAGGTACTAGGGCGATGGGTTAAAAAAAACACCAAGATAGTAGCTGTGATCACACTTGCTTCTTTGTAAAATATGTCAAGCCATATAAAAAAGGGGCAGTGTTTTAATCGCACTGTTGTGTCTGCCATGTTACTTTGTATGGCCTGAGGTATACTATTTGACAACTCCTGGGTGAAGAGGAAAAAGTTATGAAATAAGGCTGACATCTCTAGCCTGGTTTCCTCCAGATGTATACAACAGCTGTGTGTCTTAAGGTCTATGACAGTGGTGGGTTGCAGGTGGTACGCCCCGGTACGGACATACCGGTGCCTGCAGGGAGCACCAGGTACCGTTCCGGTATGGTGCTCCAGAGGGCCCACCTGAGCTCCTTTCCTGTATTTGAATTCTTTGGTGCTTCCGTGCACGCACACGGAGCGTACAGCTCCTGCGTGACGCTCTGCCAAGCAGCTGGAGCGTCGCGGAGGCATCACAGAAGGATGCATGCACGTGCTGCGCGTGTGTGCATGTGGCAGACGCTGGGCCCTGTTGCACCATACCGGTTGCACCGGGATCCGGAACCCACCACTAGTCTACGATTGTAGGGCGCAGGTTGAAGGATTCATTAAAAGTGGCTACTGAAGGCAAGGGCTTTGCTAACTGCAGTATATATAATGTACAATATATGTTGGATATTGTAGGCAATGTCAATCATTAATATAATCACTAATGTGATACTCCCACCTTTTGAGCATACAATCTTTCCACGTATCTTTATTATAAATGATGTACCTGCTAACTGTGAAACTAGTATTAGAAAAGATTGCTTTAATAGAATATTGTTGAG